CGAAACGACTGATTAAAGGCATCACTCGCTCGAGATGTTCGCCGAACCGGTGGCCCGACTGCCGGCTGATGGCTGTAATGCATTGGATGTATGTCTTGGCGTTGTTGATGTCACTGACGTTTGCGGACAACTCTTCGATGAGAAACTCAATGACTCTGTTATACAAGGCTTGCGAACAACACATCGTTAGGTACGAGAGGGCAGTGATGGCCCGCTTGCGGACGGCCAGCCGTTGGCACAACAGCTGCGGAATGAGTGAGTCTTGAATGTTGGCGTGAAATGAGACCAAAAGACTGCCGAATCGGTTCAGTAGGTCCGACAGTATCTCAAGCGCTTCCAGACGTATACCCATATCGTCGTGCTTTGGAGTGACAAACAAAACGCGCCGTTAGATCGAGACGACGACAACAAGAGTGTCGGCGCAACGGATGCGCTCACCTGTGAGATGGCGTTCGCGAGCCGGCCGGTGATCTTCTTGCAGATGGTGGACACCAACGCCGTCGAGTGGGGCGACAGCTCGCAGATGACGGTCTTGAGCCCAATGCTGGAGATGTCGCGCAGCTGTTCGTTGTTGGAGATCATGTTGGAGCAGAGGGTGTCCACAATGGTCTCCACCTGAATCTCCTTCACTTTGTTGACGAGCGGACCCAAGCACTTGACGGCCAGGTTCTGCACCTCTCCGTTCTTGTCGTCCAAGAGCTTGAGGAGCATCCGAACCACTTTCTTCTCGCAGTCGTCGTNACTCATAGGTTGGCCTCTGCTATCATCTGCGGCCTTATCGGTGGTCACTCTATGGCCTCGAGTGTGGTGTGGGGTCTAAGAGCTGCCAAACTATCACTTCTGTCGCCACTGACTATACCGCACACTATAACTCATATCTAATTAAAATACAAATGACTTATATGAATAAAACTCGTCAACTCAACTCAGTTTAACTGACTGTCAGTCACTAAAAAGTTTTCAACACTCATTCACACCACCAGAGGGTGTCATACATAACACATACTCTACATATGCTCACAAATACTGTTACCGTTGATAGGGAATAGTTTCCTAATCTTTCACATTTTGTATGCAAAGGGGGCCGCGGTTTGAGTCGATTGTAACGGCATGTGTGAGTGGGACCGGTGTATAGCGTTTCCATTGAACCAATGATTGTCTCATTTCTTGTGCATTACTTCAAACAAAACATTTACTGAATGTATGTTTGAGTTGTGTTTTAGTCATTCAGTCATTGCTTCACACATTGAGTCCACTCTAACGACCATTCATTCACTCATTAATCGCTTATTTGTGTGCAATTAGTGGACATTTTTGACTCATTTGTGCGCAAACTGTGTGTCTATTGAGTGGTGAGTGTACTGACAGTGACATCACGTCTCACGACAATCACAGACACATCCACTCAACCATTGCTCGCAATTATCTGTTGAATAGGTTTTGGACACCAAATGCTCGCTGAGAATGTCGTCTTCAGTCTCGTACCACATCTCCAACCTCTTGGAAAAGGTATTGATCGCATGTCTGACCACTCGTTGTGGCCACAACTGCCTGACCATTGCTCACACGTGTGTCGGCACACTGTCTCTCACCCCCACCGCAGATGACGTCGACCGACAAGGACTTCCGCTTCATGGCCACCAACGACCTGATGTGCGAACTCCAGAAGGACTCCATTAAACTGGACGACGACTGCGAGAAGAAAGTGGTTCGGATGCTCCTCAAGCTCTTGGACGACAAGAACGGAGAGGTGCAGAACCTGGCCGTCAAGTGCTTGGGTCCGCTCGTCAACAAAGTGAAGGAGATTCAGGTCGAGACCATTGTGGACACCCTCTGCTCCAACATGATCTCCAACAACGAGCAGCTGCGCGATATCTCCAGCATTGGGCTCAAGACAGTCATCTGCGAGCTGTCGCCCCACTCGACGGCGTTGGTGTCCACCATCTGCAAGAAGATCACCGGCCGGCTTGCGAACGCCATCTCACAGGTGAGCGCATCCGTTGCGCCGACACTCTTGTTGTTGTCGTCTCGATCTAACGGCGCGTTTTGTTTGTCACTCCCAAAGCACGACGATATGGGTATACGTCTGGAAGCGCTTGAGATACTGTCGGACCTACTGAACCGATTCGGCAGTCTTTTGGTCTCATTTCACGCCAACATTCAGGACTCACTCATTCCGCAGCTGTTGTGCCAACGGCTGGCCGTCCGCAAGCGGGCCATCACTGCCCTCTCGTACCTAACGATGTGTTGTTCGCAGGCGTTGTATAACAGAGTCATTGAGTTTCTCATCGAAGAGTTATCCGCAAACGTCAGTGACATCAACAACGCCAAGACATACATCCAATGCATTACAGCCATCAGCCGGCAGTCGGGCCACCGGTTCGGCGAACATCTCGAGCGAGTGATGCCTTTAATCAGTCGTTTCGCGTATCTGGAGGTGAAGGACAAGAAGCAGGAGGACGGCGACGAACTCAAGGAAGTGTGTCTTCAGGCGTTCGAGTCGTTTGTGCGGAGATGTCCTAAAGAGATATCAACACACGTGCCGACTGTGAGACCCATTGTCACTGTTTGTGAGAGTTGTTCTCGACTTTTGTTTTTTTCATTTGCTCTCAAAGATCACAAACGTTTGCCTCAAATACTTATCTTATGACCCGAACTATAACTACGATTCCGACGGCAACGACGACGAGGACATGGAAATGGATAACGAGGACGAAGAGGCCGACACCGACGGCTCGTACAGCGACGACGACGACATGAGTTGGAAAGTGAGACGCGCGTCGGCCAAGACGTTGGAGGCGTTGATATCGACGCGACACGAACTCATTGCCGACTTCTATCGCAAAGTGTCACCGGAATTGATCCAAAGATATAAAGGTATAGACTTATAGACGAATGAGTGAATTGTGGGACAAATGAATGAATGACTGAAATACTCGACACTTGCAGAGCGCGAGGAGAACGTAAAGGTCGACATATTTAACGCATACATAGCGCTACTGAAACAGACGCGAACACTGGTGGGTAGTGGTGGTGGTGGCGGCGGTGGGGGGACCGGCGGATGCGACAACTCGTCGGAGTACTCGTCGCACATCTCGACGATAGTTCGAGAACAGGTGCCTTCGATAGTGAAGTCTCTGCACAAACAGCTCCGCGAGAAGAGCATCAAAACACGGCAGAGCTGTTTCCTACTGCTCAGCGAATTGGTGAACGTATTGCCCGGTGCTCTCACCGAACACATCTCGAACCTGATCCCCGGCATACTCTACTCATTGAGGTAATGGTTTCTGAATGTGGTGTCACTGTTTGGGTTCAACTGAATGGTTGTGTTTTTTCAGTGACAAGAATTCGAGTTCAAACATGAAGATCGATACGTTGGCCTTCTTGAACACTGTGCTCAAGAATCACAGCCCAGAGGTGTTCCACAAACACATTCACATACTCTTGCCGGCGGTGATCAA